AAAAAAAAAAAAAAAACATACAAATTCAACAGTCCCACCCTGGTGAACAGAGCTTTTTAGTTTCACCACCCAAAGGTAAGCAGACTACCAGATCTTGGCAGAAAGCAGCAAAGATTTAAAAAGAACAAAACAAAAAAGAAAGGGCCAGCCTGGTGGTGCACTCGGTAGAGTGCGGCGCTTGGGAGCGCGGTGGCGCTCCCGCCGAGGGTTCGGATCCCATATAGAGACCGGTCCGCTCACTGGTTGAGCGCGGTGTGGGCGCGACACCGGACACCGAGGGTACAGGCGCGACACCGAGGGTTGCGATCCCGTTATCGGTCACGAAAAAAGACAAAAAGGAAAACAAAAAAACAAAACAAAAAAGAAAGCAGCTTAAAAGAAACAGATTATGGCAAGACTATCTTTTCCTTAGCCAGGCTTTCCTTCTTAATCCGTTTTTGAAAACAAAACTATATGCGGTAAAACTGTAAAGAAAAGTGAGAGAATGATGAACATAAAAGCAAGAATGGGGGGCTGGTCCGTTGGCTTGGTTGGTTGGAGCACAGCCTTGTAACACCAAGGTCAAGGGTTTGGATCCCCATACCGGCCAGCTTCTAAAAAAAAAAAAAGAAAAGAAAAAACACAAAACAAAACATAAAAGCAAGAATAGTAGTTGTCTCTGGGGTGGGACAGAGAATAGGAAGTATGAGGGTTCTATGGGGGGCTTCTAAGGTACTCGTAATATTCTATTTTTTAAGCTGGATGCTGGCTACGCATGTTCATGTGTTGTTATTAAACTTTACATATACATTTTATATACCTTTCTACATATGAGAGTAAGTTACCTTAAGCTGACTGAGACTGTGTGTGGCAGAGGCGGGTTTGTGGAGGTGAGATTCGCTGTAGGGGGATCAGGCAATGAGCCAGCTTCTTCAGTGAGAGATCCCCAAATGTCAATATCTGTGGGTATGTGTGGCAGAGGCGGGTTTGTGGAGGTGAGATTCGCTGTAAGGGGATCAGGCAATGAGCCAGCTTCTTCAGTGAGAGATCCCCAAATGTCAATATCTGTGGGTCAGTTTCCCCAAAAAGGGCTCAATCCCCTAACTGGGGAGCATAAGCTTAGCCATCAGTCAGAGAAAAGCAGAAGGAAGGAGCTGAGCTTCTCACAACTCAGTCTATAGAATTTCCTTTAATTCCCTTCTTTTCAGTCTCGCCCTCAGCTCCACTCTCCACCATGCCTGGTATCCTCAAATCAGACGGGTTTCTCTAGAGAACAGACCTGGGGACTTCTACAGGGCCCCATGGAGGATGGCAGTCACCTGGCTATGCAGGATGGAGAAAAGAACCCAGGGAGTCCGACCACTCAGACTTTCTACAATCCACTTGTTTTCAGCCATGCACTTTACCTCCTGCCTTGCACAGTCACAGGCACCACCGAGGTGTAAGCTTTTCTGGGGTTCTGGGGGACAGGCACTTGCACTGCAGCTTCCTCCTATCTCCTAATTAGCTAGTAGTTCTCTGATTGTGAGACAGACCCATGCAAAGTTTTAGCTGTATAAGTCCTTCCAAATGGAACGATTCGATAAGTTGAACATCTGAATTCCCAAATAATACCTCAACAGGGACATCTCCTAGATCACATTTTCAATTGCTCAAGAGATTCTTTAAAATTCTGTCACTAAACAGTTTACTTTCTATACCTTCGAGGGTCCAGTTCATGGTCCTTGGATCCAGTCACTAGTTCCGGATGAATTCGCACATGTTCCATCATTGGCTAGAAGAGTTTGGGTTGACAAATTATAAAGGGCTGAATTTTTGTGGTAAATCCACACAATGGAATATTATTTGACAATAAGAAGGAATAAAGTACTGATACATGTTACGATATGGATGAACTTGAAACATTATGTTAAGTGAAGGAAGCCAGTCACAAAAGACCACATAGTATATGTTATCACTCATATGAAATCTCCAGAATAGGAAAGTCTATACAGACAGAAAGTAGATTAGTGGCTGCCTAGGGATGAGAGGAGGTTTGAGACCAAGGCTGAATTTCTTTTCAAAATTTCCCTACTATGTGATACAAAAGTTATAAATGCAGCACATCTAAACAATATAAGTATAAAATAAATGAGCACTTTTAATTTACCTTGACCACTTCTTCGAAAGTCTCCAAATTTTCCTTCATACTGTAGTGAGAACGTAGAAAGGAGACAAAGTTGCAAGGATACATTCCATAAAGGCGATGAAAGAGAGCATAAACACTGGCGTGGAGATGGACAAGATAGACTTCTGTCACATGGCCTAAAAAGAGAAACGTTGAGACGAGTCTCTTAGTTGGACAAAGACTGATGTGTGCAAAATAGACGCAAATACACAGCTGCCAGAATGGCCTTCTATTTATGTATACTCCCACTTTGCTCTAAAGATAGTAAATCAGAGTGGTTTTCTAAAACACAAATCTGAACACACCAGCCACCCCTATTTAAAATCCATCAGTGGCTCCCTATGGCTTTTGGATAAACTCCAGTCTACTTAATGACCCATAAAGGCTCTTACTGATCTAATCTCTGCCCTTCTCTCCAGCCATGCCCCTAAAAGGACCCCACACATCTTCACAATACTAAACTACCTTTATAATGATAGGTGTGCACCCTACAAGTTGTACTTACACTTCTCCATTGCCCAATTCAGCACGAGTTTCTTGAGAAAAGGACTGTCTTACTCACCTCTGTATCTTCACTGTCTTGCACTGTGCTTGGCATATAATAAGCATTCAAATATTTGTGGAATAAGTGTGAGAATGTTTTAAAATCAGTATGTAGTCTTAGCTCTGCAGATTTATAACTATACAGTGAAAAAAACTAATATACAGAAATTAGCTTAAAGAAATAAGAGTGGGAGAAATTGAAAATGTGGTTAATCTAGCCCTTACTAGACCCTATGGAAACCCCTGTATCCATGTTATACATAAAGCTTCTCCGTGATAATAGACAGACCATTTCTTTCTCCCAAAGATCCCAGTAAGCTGGCATCAGATTGGCCTGTGCTGTGATTTAATCCAGTACAGAAAGCCACAGCATTCTGTCTCACAGGTCTTACATATTTCATCCTTTCCATACAAATATCTCATGCTGGGATTACCAAAAGATTTAGAATTTCACATGCTTATAACTACTGAATCACTTTGATAGAGCTGTGCTACCTGCTGATATGGAAAAAACCTCACAGCGTTTGAAACTGGAATGCTAATTAGGACATGCTGCTTTCTCCCTCCTCCTTCCACATACACAATGAACAGGTCCTCAGAACCAGAAGTTTGTGTTCTGTCACAACAGACCAGCAGAGTAAGACAAAAGTGTTCTGCAAGCTCAGTCCTATACTGCTGCAATATAGATGGAAATTGTTTTTAATTTAACTACTGAAAATTAGGAATTTTACATCTTACCACTCAGTTTCTCTGACAACTAATCCTCTTAAGCCAACAGAATAAATACGGAATCTCAACAGTCATGCTTCTTATGTGTGCCTACACTGGATGCACCCAAGGTATTTCCTTACTTATCGAGTGAAAACCCCTCATTTCAGCTGTGAAATTCGACATGTCCTTCCCTTACAGCACAGGACATGCTAATCAATAATGAAGCATTCACCTGGTAGGGTCTGAAAGGTATGTAAGGAGATCTATACCTGGTTTCTTCAGGCACCATGATGAAAGACGGCCAAAAATATCAAAGAAATCAAGAAGGTGCTGTTTCCCAGACTGCGGAATCATTGGTAGCATGGTTATCAACACTAGGACGCCTGTTGTGAGGACGACGACGTCAGTGTCCATCTGCAGAAGGAAAGGTCAAACAAGAAGGAACACCTATCAGGCGCAGCACTGGGATCAGCACTGCACAGTGCATGAAAAGGGTCTATGTGCCAAGCGAGCCACAAGGTAGAAGTTCACTCACATGCTCATTTCCTTATCTCTAAGGACACTGAGGGACAACACTGAAACAGACTCAACAGGAAAACTGCTGAGCCCTGGCTCTACTGTCAAGAGTCTGTGAGGACCATCTACCTTTTTATTACTTATTTATTTATTTTTTATTAACACATAGTTGGTTGTACCTCTCTGTGGAGTAACATTGTTGAATATCAATACCTGTTTGCAATACGCGATGCTCAAATCAGGATAATTAGTATATTCAACTTTACACAATGTAATCACCTTTGGTGGCCCTTTACCAATTTTGCTAACTGCCCCCCCGCCCCCTGACTTCCCCACCTCTGGTGGCACAATCATTTACAATACACCTATGCAAACTCATACAGGAGATGAGCTTAAACTTGACTTGGGGACTCCTATGTCTGAAAGTCTTAGCATGCCCTATTTATAACACTTGGATGAAAGCACAAGAGGTTGCTTTTTAGCAGAACACAGGAACACCGTTCTGTTTTCATTCATTCAACCAAATCTTAAGAAATTCACTTTTTGTTAAGTCAACTTCAAAGAACACTACACATTGACAAGCAACTCACTATTTTTTAAAGGACTACAACAGAAGTATAATGGAAGAAGAAATTAGCATAGCGCTAACAAGTCACCGTAACGGCTCACTCACTTCATAGTAATATTTAGGGATCAGCAAATAAAAGAAGATATGGAACCCTCTGACCATGCCTATATTTTAAATATAAAGTCAAATAACTTTAGGCTAAGTGAAGACACTTAAGACCCAATGGATGATGCATCAACTCTGACTAGCTACAGCAGCTCACCTGACCCATAATTAAATCATGGATGTTTGCCAAGTAACTGAAAATCAGATTTACAAAACAAGATATTAATCAAAAGACTTCCATGCAGGCTAACACATCCATTATTCCTATTAGAAAAAGAATCTATGAGCCTGCAAACAAAGTTTTTAGTATATTTAATTGTTATATCAAGCACCAAGCCTTTTGTTAGGGCAGATATCTAGTAAGAAGATGATACTAGTAGGAGAATTGAGAATACAACTGACTTTTGAACAACAGGGGGTTTGAACTGTGCAGGTCCACTTATTTGCAGGGTTTTTTTCAATAAATATATTGGAAAATTTTTTTGGAGATTTGCAACAATTTGAAAAAAACTGACAGACAAACCATGCAGCCTGGAAATATTGAAAAAATTTTTAAAAAGTTAGGTGTGCCATGAGTGCATAAACTATATGTAGATACTCGTCTAATTTTATCATTATCAAAAGTTACACATACATTTACAGACCATACATGGAGCCATTTGCAGTTGAAAAATAAAAGTAAAAATATAGTATTAGATCATATCTGCATAAAATTAACTGCAGTGCATACTGTACAACTGTAATAACTTCTTAGCCACCTCCAGTTGCTACTGCAGTGAGCTCAAGTGTTGAAAGTATCCACTTAAAATGCCATGTGACACTATCACCTCCCAGCAAGCAGTTCGTCTCTCCAGTAAATTGTGTGTTGCAGTAAAAAGTGATCTCTCCTGGGTTTCTCTTATGATCTTCTTAGTAACATTTTCTTGCCTCTAGCTTACTTTATTGTAAGAATACAGTGTATAATATTTATAACATACAAAATATGTGTTAATCGACTATTTATGTTATCAGTAAAGGCCTCTGCTCAACAGTAGGCTATTAGTCATTTTGGGGGAGTCAAAGTTATACACAGATTTTCTACTGCATCGAGGTGGGGGGCATGGGGATAGTCAGCACTCTAACCCCTATGTTGTTCAAGGGTCAACTGTATATAACGAGAATATAAGTCCCAGCAAAAAAGGACTAACCCTAATTTCATTTATTACAACATTCTACCTGAAGACATGGGTAATAACAGTCCATGACTGATATTCAAGGATTACCCTTTCAGAAAAGATAAGCGTTTTGCAATCTGAACTAAATGTTGTACCTCAAAATTGGATTATATTCTCATCAGTCTATTTGCTTAAAAAAATAGTAAGGTGTTAAAACTCCTCCTGCTCTTTCTTAAAATCAAATGCACATCTTTATGATGTCCTACCAATGTGACTCCTTAGGACCCACCTCTATAGGGATAATCAGTTACCCTTCTTGGCAGACACAAAAATCAGTCTGCATGGTGCTTGCTGTACCAGATAAATCCAAAAGTACTGCCAGCCTGGTACGAATACTACTGGAGATTTTCATGTCTGTGAGGTACAGGCAATTAATATTAACCACATTTTCTTATTTTAAAGATAGGAAACAAGTCCTGGAACTAAAACAAATTAAGCAAATAGCCTTGAGTACTTTAGAAAGCCACTGTCAAAACTAAAGCCATAAAGTCCTATTTAGGTTTCAACTTCCTGTGTCAAAAAATGCACTAAATTTAGTGCAAAAATTAGTAGAATGCAACTCAGTAGTTACATCAACAAAATCCTAACTATAGCTGCAACTAGAACATGCTCCTAAATGGCTAAAAGAACCTTTAAGTCATTTTTCTAACAACCAAAAGAGAATTTAGAACAGGGATTCTCAAAAGAGAATCCAGCATATTTTTAACTAAGGGAAGGCTAGATATGATGAAATCAAAGAATTTAGAATAATGTAATGTTGAACCCATCTGACTGAAATGTTCCCATATTTTCTTGGACAAAAGATCTTCAACAGTTGTAGTGAGAGCTTTTTGAGAACTTACTAAGTACCAACTCTGGACTACATTACATTTGAGAAACACCAAATGCGCAGAAGTTTTTAAACTCTAAGAGTTAAAATCTAGCTTGCTTGCTTTAAGTTACTCAAAATTTCAGAAACTACATGCATAAAGCCATTCCATTCAAATCCTTACAAACACCCTACCTACCTTGAGACATTTTAGTAAAGAAGGCAAAAGAGGTGCTTGTGAGAGCTTGTGCTTCCAAGAAGGCTGCAGTCTTATAACGTGCCCCAGAAACGAGAGGATGGGTAAACGAGTGGCGGCTTTGCCCACGTACTCATTAATTTTGTCCAAGAGGTGCTGAAAATGTAAAAGAACAAGGAAAATCCTCACAGGAATGTATGAAGTTAACACAAATACAGGCAGCAATGATGGACTCCCATCTCTCAAATCTTCCCTCTGATGTAAAGCAAAGGTCAAGCAGGTAGGAATCAAACTGAAGATCTTTTAATGTTGCTGCATTTGGCCCAAGAGAGGGCAGCCAGTCTGCAACTCATGAAAAAGGATCCCTATAATCCCCAAGAGGGGAGGAGACTCCTTCATAGCCCCTCTTTGAAGTACAAATAGGCCACTTCTTACAGTAGTACGTTGTTGAAGCCATGAGGGGATCCTGCTGGAAGCAGCAACCTATTGCAAGAGCAGCCCAGCCTACATGGTTTGGCCTAAAGATAAATCAGGTAATAGAAGTTATGATTTAGCTCAGAGTAAGGAAACAACAAAATGTATTGTAAAATGCACACAATGGCAAGATCTTTAAATCCTAGTGAAGTCACTCTCGTATACAAACTCAAGATTTACCAAACTCTGCAATTATAATGCTTTGTTAGCTATTTGCCATAAACAAAAATAAAAACAAAAGAAAAACACAAAGTAGCCATCAAAGTGCCTCGTGCTAGGAAACAGGACTCATTAACAGGCCAAATTAGTTCCCTGCAGCACTTACAGAATTTTCCCTATTGACAGGAATCTCGAAATCCTATCCAAAGCATTGGTTTATAGGTCAAATCGTCACTATAAAATTATAGTATTGGAATTATCAGATTTCTTTAAACAAGATCTTTAAAAAGCCTCTGAAATATGTTTTATTTTGTTAACTTTTGAAGAAACATCAGTCCTACAAATTATTTTTATATGCAGTCATAATCTGGGAATGCCATCATCTGTGACATACAGAAGTCAAAGGAGTAAGCTCTGGACAAACTGAACAGTGGGCCTGCACAGAAGCTGCTGCGCTCCTCTTGGAGAACTCATTAAATGCCTGTTACACTTCAGCAGTTACCTTATCGTGTGGCTCTTGCAAGGTGGTCAGGATGTGCAATACCGGCTGAGAATTGGTTTCCAGGTAATAATCCACCAAGGTGTTTATAAGCATAGGACCACGGTCTAAATACAGAAAAGAGTGATTTACAATACTTATATCCTTTAGCATTCTAAATTTACCTCAAATAGTTGCCTGCCACCAAACGTGGAAAATGGTGGGGGGTTTTTTTGGCAGCTGTCTGGTATGGGAATCCAAACCCTTGACCTTGGCGTTACAAGGCTGCACTCTAACCAACTGAGCCAACCGGCCAGCCCTGGTTTCTTATGCATGCTTCCCAAAGTTTTATGAACCATTGTGTTTCTGCCTCCTTAAATTTATTTCAGTTTAACAATGGGATAATTCCAAGCTTATTTGCCTAAATATCCACAAAAGCATACGAAATACTATCTTCTATTTTTTATTGTATTTTTTATTATAAAAATAATCCATGTTTATTACTAAAATTTCAGATTATATAAAAGCACATCAAATGAAAGTGGAAGTTCTCTTTGCCACCTGCCTCTCAACGCCCTCGTCAGAGAAAACACCCTTAAGTTTGGTATGTGTCCTTTCAAACCCTTTCCTTCATGTATAACCACATACACAGAGCCCTCATGGTTACTACAGACATAGTTTGGGTATGTGTGTGTTTTTCCACTTAACAGTGTGTTGGAGACACCTTCCCACGTCAGCACCAATGCCCTAGTTCATTCTTTGTACTGACTTCCTAATGCTCCACTGCGTGGCTCCACATAATTAACTTAAACATTTACCTACTGAAGGAGACTTGGGGTTTTCCAATTTTTCACTATATTTCATTCAAGGCTATAATGAGATACAGACTCTTGTAAGTGTGCTAAATGGTGTGTGCTTTTAAATTGATGATAGATACTCCAAAAAGGCTGAACACCAATTTATACTCCTGCTAACAGTGCCCATTTTTCTATGATCAATATTCGATTTTTGCCAACCTGGTAAGCAAAAAGAGTACTGTTTAAATTTTTAGTATTTCTCCGATTAAACAGAGGTTAAACATTTGTCACATTAAAAACCACATATATGATTTACAGATGAAATGCCATGTCTGAGATTCACTTTAAAATACTCGGAGGGTGGGGGAGAGTCAGGAAGGAAAGACAAAATGGCAGAAACGCTGAAATTTCCATGGGGCTCATGGTGTGATTCTCACTTCTGTGTGTGTATATATTTGAATATTTCCATAATTAAAAGTTTAAAACACATCTAGAATGAATCCACCAATGTATGCTCTCTTCTGGTGGTTTATAAAACTGTCTTTACAAGATCAAAACTAAAATTTATCAGCAGAATTCTAGTCAGCTCTACGTCAATGTCCTCTTTTTAGGATACAACCTAGAAAAGATATTACTTTGCTTACCAGAATTGAGGTTCTCTTTGAAGATGGCTGTCACGTCACTTCGCACACCCAGCATGGGGGAATCCAGCATGGAGAGGAGCTCCCCGACGTTCGCTTGTTGGGCCATTCTCTTCCACGAATGTGCTGCACAGGTTTCAGGACGTGTGTTACAGGCTCTGAAGGCTCTTCATTGGGGCCACTACCAGGCTGAGAAAAAGGAAGACAAATGGTGTGTCTAACTGGCCCCATTTTCCCCCACAAAAATCCACCTGCAATACAAACCGGCACGTGCTCAATGCAGTGAAAACTCTGGCAAGCACTTTGCTGATAAAAGATAAGGTGTGTGAATAAGTCTTTGACAAATTTATGGTGTAAGAGGAATACTATGGAATGCCACAATCAGAGAAGAACCTGAAAAACTGATACCACAGAACTGTTCACCACAGCAACTTAATGACAGAACCAAATCAAAGTGTTATTCCTACCTCTGATTCTACCGTGGGTTTTGGCTAAGACTATGTTTATATTTCAAATCACTGATCTAAAAAATAGACAAACTGTTCTCAGAAAAAGAATTAAAAGCACACTATTTCCTTCTTGACAATCCATCAGTGTCTAAAAGTTAGCAGACCTGGTTAGGTCACAAGTCTGCTAAGTCCAACACCTAGCGTAAACCAGGATCGTTTCTCTGTTCTTAGTGTACACTCCTTGTCTAGGCAACCACTGCACACTCAAACGCCACTGGCTACAGGGAAGTAGCAATGGATGAGGACCCTCAGGACAAACCTTCAAAAACTCATCCCTGAAAAATTCACCTCTTTATTTATGGTAGTGGAGTAGCTGCCTATACAAAAAGCAGCTCTTTTCCCAAGTGTTACTATATACATTTATGATTGATTATTTCACCCCACTTTGGTCTCTAAAGTTGTATATTTAAAAACAAGTAACAATAGGTACCATTTATAAGACAGGCAGCACACACCTTTTACAAGCATCACTGCATATACTCCTCACACTGCTATCGTGTGATTGGCACTTTTGTCCCCATTGTACAGGGAGGAAAGCAGAGATCAAGGCTTTACCTCTGGATCACAAAGCTGGCAGGTGGCAAAACCAGGGCAGAAGAACTGAAATTTGAACACAAATCTTCCTGACTTGTAGCAGTGGCATTTGGGTGTGCAATGGTTGACTCTAAGGCCCCAAGCCCTTAAACGTGACATGAAGGTAAGTTGTGGTTTTGATTGTCATGGCAACTCTGTCAGGTAAGCAGGTAGTATCCTTATTTTATTTAATTATTTATTTACTTGGTGGCTGGCCAGGACAGGAATCAAACCCTGGACCTTGGTGTTATCAGCACCATGCTCTAACTAACTGAGGTAACCTGCCAGCCCTATCCTTATTTAACAAATGGAAACATGGATACCCAAAAAGGATAAATAACTTTTCCAAGGTCACATGGTAAACCAGAATTTAGATGGCCCAACTCCCACACCAATGAATGTATGTCATTTGCAGCCATATTAAAATATATTCCTATTTGCTTTTCCTCGAGTAAGCTAAAGTAGTTCTTAAACTTTAGTGGGTAGCAAAGCCACGTGAGATGCTTATTAGAAATTTGATTTCCTGGGCCCATTCCAAAACTGAATTTTGGGCTCAGGAATATGCAGTTTAATAAGCACCCCAGGTGATTCTCATGTAGGTAATACACACACACCCTGTTTCAGAAACACTATGCTAAAGAGAAATCCAATTAAAGAGTTAAGCTCCTTCTGCAAGGATGCTAAGTTTAAATTAGCAATGACCCCGAAACTGCCAGGTGCAAACTTGCTATCACCATACTCTTGTTCAATTACAACCTGGTGGCATTTACTCTTGGTGAATGTCTTGAGTTGGCTCTTGGTGAATGAGAAGTTCATTAGTCAAAAAAATCAATTAAAATGTCTACATGCATTTTTGATAGCAAATCATGATGTAGGAAGTTGCTAGCTGGTACCTATAAATACAAATCTCACAGGTAAATCACAAAGGATGTCAATTTCAAAGGGCTCAGAAATGTGAGACCACAACTGGTCTATTCTACTGTAAGAGTTCAAAACTGAAAAACAGAAACAAATTTCACCTTATTGTGAATTGGATTAAATTAAATTAAATTAAATTTATAAATGAAGATAATACCAACCTGTCATGGTTCATTGTCCATCGCAAGGATTAAATGAGATAACGTACAGAAACCACTCAGCATAGTACCTGGTACCAATGAACACTCACCGAATAGTACCTATCTATTGCCATAAAAAATACAAGTGGAAATCTTTGGGCCACCGCTTTCAAGATAACTTTTTAATGGCACATTTTACCTAGCTAATCCCCACATTTATTTCTACTTCAGGTAAATCACAAATGATTCTCAATTAGTGATAAAGAATGCAGTTCATAAATTTGGAAGTATTTTGTCCCTAAGTTTGGTTTTGTTCTAATAAAACTGCTACTCACCTACTCTCAGTCTTCGCAAGACTTTGAGTTTGTCTTCTGTGTATTTGGAAGACAATTATGTCAGATCCGGTCCTCCAAATGCAGGCAGCCCCAGAGCAGAGTGACATGAGCTCAATTTTAAACAAAGACGGCGCACATCCAGTCAACTGGGCAATAGTTAGGGCTAATCGGCTTGGGCTACCTAGCTTACTTTCCAGTTTGTAAATGTAATTGAGGTGTAAAGTCTGGTTTCTGGAGCCTACTCTTTCCAAATGCTTTATAGAGGGCAAAAATCAGGTTTCATTCTAAAACACATTAGAACATTTCTGGCAACAAGTTTTTCTCTGTGGTTCTACAATTCTACGGTTTAACTGTATGTTTTAATCTCCAGGAAAAATAGAAATCTTAGGCTTCATGTGAGAACCTTCATCACAGAAAAAATATAAATCCTGGGTTTTGTGAGAGAACTTTGTAGAAGTGACTCATGTTCAAGCATTTTTGACATTATAAAAAGCCCTCTTGAGAGTTAAATCATAAGCTTTTGGAATCAGTCCCGTAACTGAAATATCTCTACTCTTTAAACTAATGCAAATATTTATTGAGCGTATACTAAGTTCAGGGTCTTTAAGTAGGGAAGATAGACTTAGCAAGAGCAATGAAAAACTGCATATGCTCCAGAAGGAAAATGAACATGGTTCAGTGTGTGCACACAGGAGGGAAGGGCCAGCTCGACCTGGACTCAGTGGTGGTGGTGGATGGGACACACACATGTTAAACACACTTTACAGCCTACGAAAGACTGGCTGGGAAAAGGCACTTGAAGATTAGCACCACAGGCACACTGAAGCATCCACTTACAGCCCTGAGAGTCTCTTTTCCATTTTGGAAATACCTACTAAAGAAAACAGCATATAGAAGTCAAAAGACAATAACTGGGTGAATACATTTCTACATCCTACGTGCTAAAGCAACATTTGATTTAGTTTGATATTATCTTTAGTAGCTACATGCCACAGTACAGCCTTACACATAAATGATGCTATTTACATTAAGGAGTCATGACCTTCAACACCCACTTCCCACACCAAAACCTATTTCTCCATCATCTTCTGGATCTCAATGAAAGGCACTACCATCGGTCTAAAGCAAACACCTAGATGCCATCCTTGACTCTTCCAACCCCTTCCACCACGGTAGCTGACATATCAGCAAACCCATTCATTTTGCTATCTCCTCTGCTATCTCCCCAGTCCAAGCCCCACCATCTATCTCTCCCGTGGAGAGGAGGGAGCAGCAGCCTCCCTCACTAGTCTCCCTGCTTATATTCATGCTACCCTACAATTCATTCACCACCAAACAACCACACGAGACTCTGACATATGGAGATCAGAACATAACACCCTGTTTAAAATCATCCAATGATTTCCCATGGAGCTAGTAAGCCAAACTGACGAGTGGCCTACCAGGCCCCGCATGGTCCAGCCTGTTATTGCCCCCCCCACCCCCGCCCCGAGCTCCCTCTACCTCTTCATTTCTCTGCTCTAGTTCCGGTCTTCTCAAACACATAAAACCTGGTTCTTGCTCAGGGCCTTTGTGCTTGCTGTCCCCTCTATGCCTAGAATGCTCGTCTCTCACCTCCTTGCATGGCTGACTGTCTCTCAGGTCTCTGCTCAAAATACCACCATCTCTGAGGAGCCTCCCCTCACCACCCAACCTAAAGCCGCAGGGAGGCTGTTAGTCACCACCTTTGAATAAAGGATACTTTCTAATCCATGAGGAACCTTGAACTAAGCTTAATTAAACCCTATACCTGATCATCAGATTTGATCATACATAGTATTTATGATCTCAAAAAGCATGGAAAGTAGGGATTTACTGAAGTTTGGTTTCAGTCTCCATACTCAGACAAAATCTCTTATCAGGCTTTGGCCTTGGTCTTTAGAAAGGTCTGAAGATTGAACAGTCAAATGCCTACTTCAGCAGCATTTCTGGCATCTCTGACCTTGTCTGCGTGATTAATAACATACGTTCCCATCCCTACTAACATACCTATCTGCAAACATCAGTAATGTGGACAAAGAATGCATTTAGAAGATTTAACGGTAAGTTAACATCTGAATATTCAATTTCATATAAAGATGAAACATTCTAGATAAAACATCCAAGTTCTGTGAAATTCTGTGAGTTTAAGTATAAAATGTGTACTTATGATAAAAGTAAAATCTTCAATTAATGATGAATGTGATTTTTATGTTCAAAAACAATAAAGAACTTTCAAATAGTTAAATATATTATTAATGTGAATATTAAGAGAGTAGTTTAGCTAGATAACTTTATAAACAAGAGTATATGTTCTTTGAGCCAAATGTTTATAAAAATTTAAATAACTCATAGAAAAATAACATCTTAATTCTACCTTATAGAATTGTTTTGTAGTCGATTATTATAAGCAAAATAACCTTTAAGAACTGCAGTTAATCTGAAGTCTTTCAAGAAAAAGTCATATTTGGAAACACTTCAGATCTTATGAGAATGAATTGAAAATAAAATGTCAACCCTATCACCTCAGTTTTATACAAAAAAAAATGTGTTCAGAAAAAATCCATAATCACAGTCAACAACATCCATGATAAATCCTCTTTAAGCCAACCATAAAGAATATAAAGAGTAGAAATATAAAGAAAACGACGTTAAGAAAAAAGTGGAATACCCAAAACATATTTTGTACTCACTAATCAAATTTCAAAACAGATTTTACAAAAATGCTTTAAGACATTTTCTTATAGTTTTGAGTCTACAGAGGCGAAAAATTTAAACAAAAAACTTGTCAAAATGATTGCTATAGGCTTTCAGCAATTTTTAGTAGTTGAATATGAAGCATCTTTGAGGCCTGCTAAGCTATAAATTTCAGACACAAGGTTCCTTCTGGAAAATCATCTATCAGAAATATTCCTGAATTCTGCTTTGTCCAAAAGGTTAATGATGGGACTAAGTGTGCCAGGTGAAAAGGGTATCAAATACAGTGACCATAAGAGCCATCTAGCAGCTAATAATGTTCACAAAGTATTTTTCCTACATTAAAACTTCAAACTTTTAAAACCTGACTACCAAAATGTAATACAATTGCCATCACGACAACATTTAATAAAACTTGAGATCTAGTTTTTTTTGTTTTTTTTCCTTTTTGTCTTTTTTTACTGACCGGTAACGGGATTGCAACCCTTGGTGTTGCGCCCGCACCGCGCTCAGCCAGTGAGTGGGAACCGGTCTCCACATGGGATCCGAACCCTCGGCGGGAGCGCCGCACCACACTCCCAAGCGGCGCACTCTCCAGTGCGCCACCGGGCCGGCCCCGAGATCTAGTTTTGTATCCCAGAATTTACATTTTATGATGGTGAAATTCAGCTTGGACTACAATGATCTGAACACTTGACACATTAGACCTTTGGTCCAAATTCATATTTGGGGGACTTCTAAAAATGGGATGGTAAGAAGTACGCACAAAAAATTTGAAAATGAAAAGTCAAACTTAGGAAGCTTTCCCTACTTGTGAGAAAAGGATACTTCCATCCTCCTGTTAGATAGTCTACAATCTGTATTAAGTCCCTGTTTATGAACGGAAATGGATTTTTATGGCAAAAATCCCTACCTTATTTCACAATTCCTGTGATGCAGACAGTGACAGAACATAGTGGCAACCACTGAGCCATAAAATGAAAGACATTAGCTGTCTGTGTATAGGGAGAGTAGACCAAACACATCCCCTATCTTCCCCACACCCTTCTTGCACAAACACACAACTATGTTGCATTTGTCACTCTTGCTGGTAAACTTGAAACTACAGTTAAGTGATCACTTAGGTCACTAAGACTAAATTCATATCCACGGAAATGCCAGAGCCCTAATATTTATTTATGAAGGATATATTCTGAAACTTTGACAATCCTTCAATTTCTAAAAAGCACTACAGCATACAATAATTTATCCCAAATGCTGAACTTAAGACAAATAATGCATATAATGCACTTAGCACAGTGCCTACCACTGAAAGCAGTTAATAAATCATCAGTAATTTGACTAACTACTTCATGCATAGATGGTCCAGTTCCTGGCAGGTAGCTAAAACCAAAAATGTTAAATCCCTGAATGCAAAGAAGCATCTATGTGCTAGTACAACTATGAACAAGATGAATAATTCCCTCCTATCTTCCCCCAACCACTGGACTGAGTTTACACCTTACCCGTTCTGGGGATAATTGGTACTTCAGTTTCCAGTGCTGTCAACCTGCTGTCCTTCATGGTCACTGAAAGGAAAAAACACATATGTGTACATAATAATCTTACAATGAAGTAAAATCCCAGACGCAATCAGAAGGTTGTTAAGGGTCCATCTGGTACAACCTCCCTCCTCCTCAGTCCCTGACAGGTGGCCAGCTGGGTTCCACTGAAATGAACACTTACAATTATTGGGTGCACATGCCTCTCCCCATCTACATTTCTGAACAGCTGGTTGCTGGAAGATTCCCTACATTGTGCTGAACTAGTAATCTCTGCCTTTTGTTAACCGTCTGTTACAGTTATAAACAAATGGGCAGAACAGGCTCTAGAATTAGAAAGTTCCGCGTTGAAACCCAAGCTCTGCCACTAATTAGCTCTGTAACTTTTGGCTACTCATTTTAAGTCTCTAACGGCTAACCTTAGGTTCCCTCACCTGTAAAGTGGGATAATAATGGCATCAACCTCCTCCAGCAGTGTGGGGATTAGATGAGATGAAACATCCCATAGTCCTGGGCACAGTGTAGGGCAACAGTAATTACTCCAGGGGCTCTGCTAGGCGGGTCCCAGCTGAACAACAGGGGCAGGCATGAGGCACTTAGTGGGCCTGCTTCGTCTTATCACCCCCCACAGCCCACTTCCTTCCCTGTGATCCTCTCTCACTAGCCTTTCAGGATCTCAGCCAAGCCACATGCCCCCACCTTGGGAGCACGTGCATGCTGTCCTTGTGCCTCAGAGACGCTACCCTTGCCTCCTCCCAAGCTAACTCTTCATCCTTGAAATCTCAGCTGAGACATTCATTTCCTCATGGAAGCCTTCCCAGCCTCCACTCCCCTCCCAATTCCCCCCCAACTAGGCCGGGTCCCCTGGTATATGCTCTTAGCAGTCTGTCTTTCTCTGTGTCACTTACCACAATCCAGTTGAATAAGTGTAATTATTTATTGAACATGTCTCCCTCAATAGAAGTTACATCCAGGGAGAGACAGTAGCTTCTTTAGTACCGTGTCTCTAGCAGCTACCACCATGTCTGGCACTAGTTGACCGAATGACTAGGGGTTAAAATATTTCTTAAATTTATAAAGCCAAATTCTGCCTTCAAATGGTACAACCTAAGTCTAATCCTTCTACATGACAGGCCTGAAATATTTGCAAACAGCTCTTTCTCTGTTTTCTTCTCCCTTTTACCCTATATTCTGTTCAAATTATCTCATACTAAATATCCATGTTAAGTATGGGTATGTATAAATACATTCCAGTTTGTTTTTAAAATATGGGCCCTTCAAACTATACTTAGGTACAATCTGATCACTAGATTGTAAGCTCCATGAGGACAGGGACCATCTGTTCGGGACATCCAGGGCCTACCTTGGCACCTGGCGCACAAAAGGCAAATATACCCTCTTCTGGTTGGCTAAGATTTCATCAGCTTCTTTGGTAGCCATTCACAGTTGAATACAGAATACAAAAGCTGAGCCTCATATGCGCTAATTACATTGGGCACAGAAAAGCCTGGAAACAAGCTCTTAAATATACAATCCTGGTCAAAGTCAAACTAGTGGATTGAGCAACTCTTAACAATTAAAATCTCTTGCTCCAGATGACAGGGTAATTACATTTCCACGTGGAGCACATTCCGGGCATTCAACTCCAGTGGTCCTCGACTCACAAGCATGTGAGCAGTACTGCAGGCAGGCTGGCCTTTCAGAAAGGCCGACTGAACCATTCAGACAGGGGGTGTTTGTCCGGCCACACTCACTGTACCAAGTCAGAGAGCTGGAATTAAAATGCAGGAGCCTCTAATCTGCAGAATCTTAAAATCAGCTGTTACTCCAGTGAGTCATCTACTTCCTCTTACAATTAATCCCAGTTGGATCTTTTACCTGAGAAGAAATATCTATAGCAAGCATAAAATTAGGATATACAACAAGATCTTATAGCCTGCCCAACCAAGATCACTATCCTAGATAAAAACACCACCCTAGAAAATCAGGGTGGTTTTTGTCTAATGCTCAATGTTAAGACTTTTAACTTCTTTTTCTCTATGCTAAAAAAATGGTGATGGTACTAAACCAACTTTCTGTTAGCATGTGGAAAGCTACCTACGATTATTTATGTTTTTGAGTGTTTATTTACTTATTCATTTATATTTAAAACCTGCCCTGTGGGGGTACCCAAGGCACAAATCATTCTGCTCAGTAAAGTTAAATGTGCCCTGTGAACCTCATGATGGGAAGTGAGGAGCATAGGTGGAAACACCTGTCAGAGCACATAACACAGCCTCAATCCACGTTCTCATCTTCAAAAGCCAAGTTAAAAAAGAAACATGCCCCAGATCTAGATACAGTTCTCACCTACATGCAACCTTGTAACTCTACTTCCATAAGCAATCTTTTAAAATAAAAATAAGGGTAGGTTTGAGGAAAAAGAGGAGGGCTCTGTGCTTTAGAATTTTGAGATTAAACAGGAGCATAGGTCAATTTGTTTTCACAGTTCACTTAACTGATTTCATTCTGTAGGTGTTTACCTATAGATGGTTTACATGCCTGGGATTACACATGAAGTTCAATGTAACAGCCATGTATAGCTGTCATTAGCAGAACCTGTGTACATTTTTTTTTCATATATCTCTGCCCTAAGCAAGATGAGCTGTGAAAGGGCTAAGAGCTATACATACCTTTAGGAAATACTAGTGGCAAGTACCTAAATTATCAGTTGAATATTCAGACTTTTGGAAAACTAGTGTTGTGATGTGTGGCCTAGAAACAAACCTCAGGGACTCCTTGGGATTGTAAATCACATAAAATAGGTAACTGCATATCAAATCACCTAAGAAGATTTTGTACACATTTGCCTATGACATAAAAATGCAACTGCGGGGTTTAAATGAAGGCAGATGTCTTTTCACTATTCAAGTTTTTATCTATAAAAAATCAAAGACAATTCAGACATAGGTCCAAGCATAGAAAGACTACTCCATTATCAAGCACAGTCTAGACAGCAGAAACGTTACACTGTTATGCTAATATTGAGCTCTAGCTCAAGAACTCTCAGGTGATTTCTTAGAGTAATATTCTATCAAGTGAAAAAAGCTGCCTTTAGCACAAATACACCAAAAATGATAAGATACTTGCACCAATTTTTTCTTCCTATTGATGCCTAGAAGGAAGGAGAAAGGGGTAGGAAATACTACTTAGTATGTCAGAGTAAAACAGCAGATGGTAAAACCTGCCAAAATGTGTAGTCACGTGTGATTTAAATGGTCTCAGCAGCTGCAGTCCCTCTCAAGGTCATATAAATTGGGGCAGGAGAGCTCCAACTTGCCAGATTCTCAATTCGGAATTTCTGCTGTTAGGGGACTTGATGGACAGTTTGCTAAAGCTTACACCCTATTCCAAAGGTAGAGAATCCACTAGTAACTTGCCTGTATGGCCAGAGCTTGATTTTGGTAAGCCGTATCTCTTCTATAAGTAATGCTTATGTTTTGACTTTCTATTAGCATGAACAAAATTATTTACCAAGAAAATACAGGCCAAACAGATACCATGTATGTTTCAAAAAGTCACTATATAGAGCTTCTCCTAAAAGAAATATGGGTAAACTGTGAGATTTCTTTAGGTTTCAAGTTTACAGGACCAAAATAGAAATACTCTAGCAAAGAAAAGCACAGGGTTTGATAGTCTAGGACACTCGTTCTCCAAATGTGGTCCTTGCACCACCAGCATCAGTATCACCTGGGAATTTGTAAGAAATGTACGTTCTTGGGCCTTGCGCCAGATCTCTGAAACTTTTTGGGTGGGGCCTTCTAGGTGATTCTGATGCCCATTAAAGCTTAAGAACCACCAGTTTAGGAAGAAGATGGAAGGCAAGAAACATTCATTCATTCACTCATTCATTCATTCATATATCTGCCTTTTGGTTCAAAAGGAAAAAAAATAGTACATAAACCTTGGAAAAAAGTCCAATGGAATTCTGCCAGGTGTTAATGGTACCAACACAGACTGAATGCCAAGCCTGACAAGCATTTAGCAGGTCATACCTGAGTTCTCTTCTTCTTCTTCTTTTTTTAAAAAATATAATACCTAAGCTTGAATTCCCAGTGAAGCATAATGAATCTTTCAATACAGAAATTTAACAAAATGATTTATAATGCAAAGAGTACCTAAGTTCACCTTTTAAAGATGTAGGCCATTCCTACCTGCTGGTTAAAAAAAGTTTTTGTTTTTAATAAAGTATAAGACCTTTTTTTTTTTTTAAGGATCCGAACCCGTGCCCTTGGTGTTATCAGCACCGCACTCTCCCGAGTGAGCCACGGGCCGGCCCAGTAGAAGACCATTTTTAACAACAGTAATCTATCTAAAATGGGTTTCAACCTGGGTTGATGAAATCCCTGAAGCCATATCCAAATTCCCATATCTATATGAGTTTTTTTTGATGGTGATGAGACATAAAGGGTAGAGGAAGGGACACTTAGTCCATATCTTCCCACAGATTTTTAGAGGGGAACTAAGGCTCCCCCAAAAGTTAAGGACCACAGACCTGTGAGTTAGTTTATAAGATTAGCAGATCAGTTTATCAAATAGTAAATTAAATGTTTGGGCTCTGGAGTCGACAAAACAGGACTCATATCCCAGCTCAGCCACTGATTAAATGACTTTAGGCAACTCACTTTAAGTTTTCAGTTTCCTCTTCCTATCCTTCCTCTTTAAAGTTTAGGAAGAGTTAACCGGATCTGACATGCAAAATACTTAGCAAAGTGTCTGGCACATAAGTACTCAATAAATATAAACTTTATTATAACAATTTTACTACTAAACAAAATGTATTGCTGGGTACGTAATGTTTAGTAGTCTATCCTTGTAACAACTGGTATTTGAAACATATAAAAACATTTTATAACTTAAAAAGGATACACTTCAAATTTGTTACTATGCTCTGTAAACTACCCAAAGTAGCACAGGTCTTAATGACTTCAGACGTTAAGATTGCTACATGTTTTATTCCTATGCTCCCCACTGTGTATCCCATCACATCACCAATCATAAGTACTCAATAAATATAAACTTTATTATAACAATTTTACTACTAAACAAAATGTATTGCTGGGTACGTAATGTTTAGTAGTCTATCCTTGTAACAACTGGTATTTGAAACATATAAAAACATTTTATAACTTAAAAAGGATACACTTCAAATTTGTTACTATGCTCTGTAAACTACCCAAAGTAGCACAGGTCTTAATGACTTCAGACGTTAAGATTGCTACATGTTTTATTCCTATGCTCCCCACTGTGTATCCCATCACATCACCAATAGAAGGGCAAAACGGTCCCTTGTTACTCAGATACTTCATGGCCTCCATTGCCATTATATTTACTTTAGAAAGTGACCTGTGAGTTGTAGGCCAGTAACTACCATGCCTTGATGAGATTAAAGCTGGGTTTTTAAGCCACTTTACTCATTAGTTGTCAATCTGAATTCATTCAACTTTAAAAAGTATTGTTACCTTTTACTACTTCCCTGTATACAGCAAAAGTTAGAAATGTACAAGAAAAGGGACAAGAGGAAATTGATAAGGTTCTGAGATTATATATCTTTATATTTATATAAGAATTTCTACTCTCTCCCCATTAAAATAGACATTAAATTACTAATATCTAGCAACTATGGTCTTAAAAAGTAAATGAGAGAAATAATAATCTCAAATTGTTGATGGTAGACCTCCTTCAGACCAGTTTAAATGGAAAAAACGAGTATTTCATGCAAACCAAATTATATTACATAGTTACCAATTGATGTCTGAGGTTAAAAAAAAACATCTTAGTGTTTGAGTATATACTATACATATATTTAAAGGAAACAGCTATAGATCTGAATGTTATTGAGTGTACTTTCATGCCTACAGCTACTTAAATGACAAACAAAATTAATACAAATAAAACTAATCTTTCAAAGAGTGATTTATAATATGGGGAACTTATTGGAAATTACCTTTGAAATAATATTATAATATCAAGGAAAGGATAAACAGGTCTTCGCCAAACCTACCAGGCTAAAAGCCACCAATTTTCTTGGATATAATAAAACCATTAACACTTTGATTCAATCATTTAGTCAGAATGTTTAACTGAAGCCCCAGGAGGACTTTAAATCACAAAAATGTAGACTTAGAAATACTCATTAATTTACAATCTAACTCTCTTGCTTCACAGATGAAGAAACTGAGGCTCAGAGAACTTAAGTGACTTGTTAAAAGGTTGAAACCTATTTGACTCTAGAAAAGCTTGAAATGGTTGATGTATTGCTATATTTGGCTCATTGGCACCCAAGAATATCCAATTAATTTCAGGAGAAGCTAATTTTAGTTCACTATGGCCCTGGTAAGCGGAAATGAACAAACATACCTGTCGCCTAACAAACTTCAAAAGAAGACAGAGCTGTAAGATCAAGTCAGTTCTAATCCAGAGCCCCAAACTCACTCACCACTATACATCAGATGTTAGAAGTTATTTTAAGAAATACCTCTGCAAAACAAGTATAAATTAAAAGAAAAGAAAATAGCCAATTGATACTTTTAAGCCAGTGGTCCTCAACCTCTGGTGCACATCAGAACTAGACTTCTTCTAAAATATATATACAGGGTGTCCTCAAGGACCAAATATGTATGTCTGCCTACTATGGGGCCAGATATCTGGGCACGGAGGTTCTGATGCCACTATAGTTTGAGACCTCTTGTTTCTGGCAATTTCATTATTCTGTAAACATTCCATACAGAGGTATATATTAGATTTTCCCTGGTAAGACTTTAGTTTCATCTCACTAATGAAACCAGGCATGCACAGAAGGCATCATATTACACCACCAATAGTAGCAGTATCAGACATCTTTGCTCATAACCCAGTGAGGAAGAGTACAACTGAGTGACAGTATGTGAGACACTCCAACTTAATAAAAACAAGTAAAAAGGCTGATAGCCACCTTCTTTCTAACTAGGAATTTAGAAACATACCAAGCGTTTATGACACCAGGAAATGCAGGGAGCAAAGAAAGCTTTTATCATCTGCCCTCCTAGCCACATGATGTAAGAGTGTTTTGGACAAGATATTAACTTTAGTGAAAGGATATTTTCCAGTTACATATTCTATAAATACCCCTTAAGTTTACACCAGGTGGTTAAAGGAAGATTCTTCACCTCCCCTGGGCAATAGCAAAGAATGTTTCAGTGTTTCTGAGGAGCCTCATTTGCCTGATGCATGACTGTTGAAGGCACATTTCCCTACACAGCCCTAAATCAGTTTTTATATTTGCATATTCCAGGTTTACTCAGGAATGCTCAACTTAAGAATCACAGGTGGTTGCTCAGTAAATCAAAGGCTCCCAGAAGATTAGGTTTTAGAATGCTTCCTGAAATTTATAGCTCCACTTTGCCAGCCTGTTTGAATTCAGATGACTCCAAGTTGATTCCAAAATTATAAATCGAAGTATCTCAGAAGAGTATTATTCTATTTTAGTACTTTTACAGCTATTCTATGTAAAGTGAAGTGCTATTTCTATGCCTCTATAAAAAACCCAGCAAGGATTTTAGCAGGACTTCTTTATGCAATAAACTCATCAGTTTCATAAAAATATGAAATCATTTTCCAGCCTAATTTATACTAACAAGTTAACATGCACAACACTGCCATCCCAAACAAAAGCTTAGGTGTGTAAGCCAAGTGCACCCCCCTTCAAAATTAAACACACACATGCACAAGCATTGGCCAACTGATTAATTCTAACCACTTAATGACAGGATAGCTTTGATCAAACAGATAAATGAAAGAGTCATGTCTTTAGAATCAGACCCCAGTTCCAGTCCTGGGGGTGTGACCTTGGGCAAGTTACCCTGATCTCTCCAGGCCTCAGTTTCTTCATGTGAGAAGACTGGAGGTGTTAATAGTGGCTGCCTCTTCCCTTTGTTGTGCGGACTAAACGAGATGATGACTGCAAAGCACTTCCTCAGTGCCTGACACACAGAGAGAACTCCATAAACGTTAGCTCTTGTTATGAGTTAGGAGGACCGTGCCCCCTCCCAGGTTCCCCACCCACAACCCCAAATCCAAAACACATGAAGCAAAACTCCTTAACCGGAGACACAAAGAAAGAGCTTTAATTCTGAAAGGTCCCTCCGCCTGCAGGCTCTTCGTCCTCCAGTTCCTCAAATGAATGAATGAGCGAGCGCCTAGGAGTGGCTCTGCAAATAGCTGCCTCCTGAGAATCACCTCTGCTGACTTGAAGGTAACTGTCTCTCACCCTCAATTAAACACCCACAAGTACACCGGAGCGACGATCTCCAGCCATTCAAATTCCGGCGGAGACACCAAGTCCAGGAGAGTCCGCGATGCCCACAGGGAGCCTCCATTCATTCTCCGCCCCCAACCCCGACCCCCCTCATGAAGTCCTGGGACAAGCCCCACCCCCCGGGCCCCTCCCTTCCCG